TACAAATATTTTAAAATTTGATAATTCAAATTTAAATCATTGTCATCATTTTAAAAAAAATCAAAGAAAACATAATAATATAAATACGTGAACTTGTTTTTTTTGAAAAAAAGCGAATCGACATCACATATAAATGAATATTTGTATGAATAATTAAACTTGTTAATTATTTTTAAAAAGACAAAACATACTGACCCCAGCAGACTGGGTTCTTGCAGGTAAAAAATATTTTAGTACAATGGCAGAGCTAAAACAAACTTAAAAACTATATCAAATCAAACTTGCGACTTCCCACGTAGGGAAGTGATCTAATTATTAATACCACTAATAATACAAAACTATTGACATTACCTGATAATTAATTTAAGTGTCTGGTTCTTCCATCAATCATCAATCAAATGTATAAAAAACAGTAAACAATATGTAAAAATACTTTATTTTAATATTGGTATATATAGTTTAATGCTACCATATATAAAAACTAAAGGTTAAGATTGTAATTAAACTAGTTGGCATTACGTTTAAAAAAAAAAACTCAATTTGCTCTTATTAATTAGATGGTACATCTGTTGGGAACATTGGGAAGAGAATAATATGAACAGCATGGTAATGATAAACCTTGCATTAATTAATTCAACAAATGATTATAAACAAGAGAAAATATTCCTTCACCTCAAGGATTAGAAATCAAATCATCCTCTTAACTTATATGACAAACAAACTCCAAGCAATAGAAGCTAACCATCAAGTGAAGACTATGTCCATCAAGAAAAAAAAAAGCCTATTTAGTGAGGGATTAAATGGCATATATCTCTAGCAAAATGAAAGCTAGTGGGGAATTTTATCCCTCACTAATTTTGCAGCAAAAAATAGATTCATCAATTTTAACTATGAAATATAATCTTCTGTTAAACATGTTTATATTTAAAAACAACCATTTAATGCCACTTAACCCTATCATTTCATGCATTGTCACTTACAAGGTGTATGTTGGTTCATGTCATGTCATTTACGGTCTCATATCTTGACACCTATCCATTGTTAGGTCACATGTTCATTATTTTTATATTAAAGCTTAAACTTGAATTCTTGACCTTTTACATTTTAAGCCTTATGTTCCCCTCCTTTATTAGTTAAACTAAAATACACTTATAGTCATTATATAAAAAATTAAATATGTGTTATTTAACTACACACATATCAAACAATATAATATTAAAATATTATTTATAAAAAATTTATATTTATATTTATATAATTCTTTATATTTTTTCATAAAATATTATTTTTTCTAATAGAATGAATTTAAAATAAAAAATATTAAATATTTTTATTATAAATATTTTAGTTAATGTTTACTTTTAAATAAAAAATTAAGTATATAATTAAAAATTATCACTAAAAGTCATTTTTTTATTGTGATTAGATAAGGATGGAATTCCTTGCTAATTATTTTTTTTTAGAAAGGCATAAAAATGGATTGTTAATTCCCTTATTTTAGAGAATAGTGCATAATCCTTTGCTAATTTTTTTATTTTAAAGAGAGATTAAAATATATCACTATTTTTTTCATTAATTATCTTATTTAAGAGAGGAATTGATAGTTTTTAGCTAATTTTAATCCAAGATGCAAAATTAATATTTCTCATTAATTTTTTTTTTCTAGTTTGACATTTTAGAGAGGAATAAATAATCTCTTACTAAATTCTCTCACTGATTGACATTTTTCTACCAGAGTAGTAGTATATTAATCTCCCTCCCTCAAGTAGGATTAAACCTCATTACATTCTAATCCAAAGTTGTGCCTGTAATATTCCAACAACAGCAGCTTTAAAAAGACAGTCTCTCTTACATGCAATTTATCACCTAACCACACAGTGGCTGGACAGTTTACACATGTATGATCCATATGAAAATTGGTTCTTTTTATCTTAAAACAGTGATTTATGCTTGAAGGCTTCCCATATATCAGTAATAAAAATATATGCCTTTTACCTTCATTATAACGAAGCGGGGCCCAAGTCAATAGGGGTTTTAATTAAAGAATTCTCATTGACACTAATCTTACCCCATGAACACTTGGATATGGTTTTCCCTTGAAAAAGGGTCTGGTTTGTTGAATGACTGCCTTGTTTGTTCCCATGCGATTACTGCAGCGAAGTGATTCATGAATCACGTGACTCTTGCTTTGCTTTAGGATATACAAGAGCCATCATTCCAATAACAATTAAATAAACTCCAACACGTAATGTTGAACGTAGAATTCCTGCCGTAATCTATAAAATTAATTATCAAATTAACAAACACTATGAGGACTGTAGTTGTTTGCGCACATGGCCTTACCAAACACTGATTCAACGCGCGTTGTAGGTTTTCGTTTCCGGACCTTAACAAGTATCATATGGTTTAATTCAATCTAGCCATTTGTTATTCAATTAAATTAAAAATATATATATAAACATGCGGCCGAAAGAATACAACAACATTAAGATTTGTCCTATTAAATGAGAAAGTCACATCGATGATAGCCCATATACATATATATTGTTATTCCCTCTAATCTTGTTTATGAGTTAATTTTAACATTTTTAATGGCGATGAAGAAAGATTTTAAAATTAACCTTGTTTAAAAAAAATTTAAATGCAACAAGTTTTCAATTTTACCATTCATAAATATGCATATTATTTTAATGTGCATTTCCTTTCATTAATATTTAATGAGAAGGTAAAAGGATAAATTTGTGATAAAAAATCAATAGCATATCTTATAAATAAGACCAAAAAAAGCATATTTTTTTTATTTTATGAATAATACAAGAGGGAGTATATTTTATCAACAATCAAATTTTTAGATACACTGGATTTGATTTTATTCATTAGTTACTTTTAACATTTTTATTGGAATCAATGAAAACCTTTAACATCAATAATTTTGTCTAAAAATTTATTAAGTTTTTAACTATACTTTTGCTAAATATACATTGAAAGTAAAATATTCAAGCATTTAATAACCTTGCAAATATTTAATAGGGGCAAAATTATAAAAATAAAACCAATAATAATTGAGATTTTTTATAAATATAATTAAAATAAATACTCTCTCCATCTCATAAACAAGACCATAGGAGTATTAGTTACCAATAGACTATTTATCCCAAAAAAAAAAAATACCAATTGACTATGTGTGATAAAGATTATCTTGGTTTGTATTTTTTTTTTATGGGCCAAGAAACTTTCTGCACAAATTTCCTTTTCGACAATTCCATTAGCTTTCTTCTTTCTTCTTTTTTGAAATGATCAATTTAAACGCACAACTCACGCGGTCGGGTGTCAAAGCAGAGTTCAAACTATGGACCTCAACTCTACAGGGAGGTAGCGTCGTTGAGGCAATTCCATTAGCTTTCTTTACAGTAACTATGTTCAAAAACACTTTAAATATTGTTTTATTGTTATCTCTTTAATATATATCGCGCCAGAATTTTTCTTTTTCCATAAATATCATCTTTTCTTGATAAGGGTAAGACATATCAGCAATCTCCTATTTATTACCCCAAATTTGGGTACGCGCTGAATAATTCATCGGTGAGCAAAGAACATGATTGAAAATTTCCCGAATGATTTTGACTTTTAATAATGATCTTGAACTGTGGACCGGGAGACCTGGACTTGAATTCTCTGCCGACATTGTTGGGCGAGTTGCACAGAATTATAATGGTCAACCCATTGACCCCATATTCATAATCTTAGTAAGTGGGTCGGGCAGCCTGGGCCCAAGGAATTACGGCCCATTTATTAATGATAGCTTGTTTTCTCATGGGCCCCTGTTCTTCATGTGATGTTTCATATTTTCCATAAAAAAGGATTGAAAACGGGATGGGATAAATGAAAAGGAATCGGTATTCATGTTTGGTGAGACAATAAGATTTATAATATTAGATTATATTATATTTTTTTAATCAATGGAATATTTTTTTGTTGCATATATTCAATTAAAATACTGAAGGATATTCAATTAGTCAACCAAACATGTTTCATCAAGGAATGAGATTCTCATTCCCACATAAATAGAAAATATTCCCCACAAGTGAACAATACCTATAGACAGTGGAACCTTTGCTGTACTTTTTCTTTGTTAAGTGATACAGTTTTTCTATTCGTATGCTATTCTAAGTTGGATAATGGGGGAGAGGTCACTTTATTAGCGATAACATGCAGCAATTAATCTTAAGCTTTTGAGTTTGAATTCTAAATATTCGGTAATAATTAAATTATCATTAGGAATCATATTCTCCAAAGAAGCAAGTTACTAGTTGAATTAGTCTGGACATGAAATTAAGAATACGAGAACTTACACCTTAAAAAAAAAGGGGGGGGGGGAGAAGTAGTAGGAAAATTAAGGCAAAACAAATAATATAGATTCGCATAGCAACAAATTGATAGACTCGTCTCTTGCGCATCTTCCTCAGCTGTTACTGCATGTAGGTTTCTCAAACCTAGCCACAAAAGATGATAGCTTGTACTTGAATTAATTAAATCAAGCTACTTGGACATAACCCTGTTAACTTGAAGGCTAACATGCGTCATGCTCACATTCTTTGTTGGTTTCATTTCACCGAGGCGCTGTCCGGTAGATATAATAACACCACAAGTTGTCAACCACCGTACCACTGAACTGGTCAATCGTGGTCAGCAAAGTGATTATTTCAACTAATTTTTTTTTTTAATGAATGATCATATCAACTTTGTTAGTAAAATAATGTGATATTTGCTCACGAGCTACGCGCCTCATTTCATAACAGGGAAACCAATGAAAGACAATGAAACGGTGCGTGGAGAAAGATCGCTGTGTTGACGTGGCACTATTTAAACCGTGGATAGGATGTGAATTGATCCAACGGCAACGGTTGGGGGCGAGGACTTTTTTTATTTTTGTAAGAGCGAAGAAAAAATTGTGATCAGAAGCAGTTACAAGAAAAGTGAAATCTGCAGGCCCGGCCCATTAGCAGTTTTTGGAACGCCGCGGACAGAACAGTCGAGGGCGCACGTCGCACACGGTCCTGTGTCCCTCCCCGGTCCCCACTGACCTTGGTCGGAATTGGAAAGGGAGGGAAATCAAACGCCCGAAAACCCTAAAACCTCGCAAAGCTCTCACGCGCTCTTCGCTTAGTTCCCATTGCATGCATACTATAAACCATTCCAGTTTCCTTGAGCCTTTTCATTGTTGTATTTTTTTTTTTTTGGTGATCAGCGTGTTTGTGAAAGCTAGTTTATTTTTTCTGGGTGTCGAAGGCGGGAAGTGAGGATCCGTCAGGGAGCTACTATGGCTAGGCTGCTCCGGAACTCTTCCCTTCTCAAGCGTTCTCTATTCGACCCTACGGTTGCTACGGTGATACATTTTTCCTTTTCTTATCTCATATTTTGTTTTCCAAGCTATGTTGCCGTTTTCCCACCTCCCTTCATCCCCTCATTTCTCCTTAGCAAACATTCTCACATGACGGAGTCTTTGTGGTTATCGAGCTCGTTTGAAGTTCTCTCTTTTGTATTTATTTTTGTTATATGTTTTAAGCTGTGCGTGGCTTGGGAACAAAATGAAGTGATGATACGTAAAGCGATTCCCGGCTGGCCTTTATTGCGAAAGTTGATGTTTTCTGAAGATTATCTGTCCCTTATATAAGTAAAAAGAACCACAATGGCGAATGGTCGAGCATGTTTATGCAGGCCTAGTGCTAGCTCCCCCTCTTTCGGCATATTCTTCTACTTCTACACATGTTTGTGAAATTGATTCCTCTTCTTTATGTACTTATCTACTTCTTGCTTTTGTTTCCAGGGCTATAAACAAGGAATGTTCGGCGCATCTCAAATTTTCAGCTTTTCATCCAGAGGTTTATTTTATTATTATTATTATTATTATTATTATTATTATTATTATTATTATTATTATTGGAGAGAAGCTTTTTCTACTTTCTCGTTTTCTCTAACCCAGATTGATGAATTTCTGATGCAACACTAGATACAGAGATTAAGATAATAGGGGATTGCCACTTGTCTTTGAAGTTTCTGATTTATCAGGAAGTCCTAAATTGCTTTTGCCTAGTAGGATAGATGGCAGCTTCAGCCATTTACATTGACATGGAAAGCTTGCTAGTCAGGCTCATCTACGTTAAGTACTGTATATAAACTTGTAAATTTGAAGGAATTGAATCTTGAGAGCACAATATTGCTTAGGCTTCTTTACTAGCATATTGGATCGATTGGGTTAGGAGGTTAAGAAGGTATACATGTTTCCTGGGGCGTGAGTTATTACTCCATAATTTGGAAGTTGGGTTTTATGTACCGGAAGAATTTTGAAATTCACATCCATTTCTTGTTCCTGTTTATGCCGTGAACCTAGCAGTAAAAGAAGTTAGATCCATTGCTACAAGAATTCGTGTACTGGAATCATATTATGTACAAATTCTGTGTTAAGAATCTTTTATTCCCCTGGCTGCAATTGTCACTCTTTTCCTTTCTGTTTATCCCAGTCTTTTCACTAATGCATCTAAGTTTGATCATTATATTTATTTTTATCTACCTGAAGCTAGAAGGGGATCTAAATCAGATGGAAGTGACTCAAGAGATGAGAACATGTCTAAGAAAGACTTGGCCCTACAACAAGCTTTGGATCAAATCACTTCTTCCTTTGGAAAGGGATCTATTATGTGGCTTGGTCGCTCTGTTACATCAAGACAAGTCCCTGTGGTGTCAACGGGGTCTTTTGCTCTGGATATAGCCTTAGGAATTGGTGGGCTTCCAAAGGTATTATTAGCTCAATGCATGAAGTTCTGTTCTCTTTTATTCTACATGAGTACACAAATAGAATTTTAAATTCTATGTTTTTATTTAAAGACGTAATTGGTTGTCAATAACAAAAAAAAAATTGTATTTATTGTTTTTTCAATTGCTTTTGCTTATTTCCTTCCAATAATGATATGACAAGTACTTTTTTATGTTTTTATCTGATATTCGGGATTAATTTATTGTTTAATTCAGTTTTATATGGGTACGCTCTCTAGTGAATCATCATAATTGAATGTTTAGTGTTGCCATTTCATTTTGTAAAGTAATTTTTTTTCCCCAACATGATTCATTGTGTCCTTATAGGTTTTCTAGAGGTTGGAGAGAATCAACCTTATGTTTTGCAGTGCAAATAGATGACTGATGTTACTTGAAAATTCTGATTGTTTGTAGGGGCGTGTTACAGAGATATACGGTCCAGAAGCTTCTGGGAAAACAACTCTTGCTTTGCATGTGATTGCGGAAGCACAGAAACAAGGAGGTTATCTTTCTATGCCACTTCTTCAGGAATAAGCATGTTTATAGCTTTCTGGTTGTCTTAGCATACTTCTTAACTACAGGTGTGATCATGTATTATTGCTATCAATTATGATCGTAGTACCATTTTGTTAGTCTCCTTTTCCCCTACGCTTTACATTTGCTTTTTTTTTTTTTAATTTCCACTTTGGATAGATGTAGCTACTTTTTATGACATTTTAATGAAGGTCCAAATAAATTTTAGCTTCTTTTTATGACATGTTAATGAAGGTCCAAATAAATTTTAAGAATTACCCAAATGACTGTTGTTACATGAATGCAAATTGTTGGTCTAATTCTTATAAGGCATATTTCTTATCTATTCCTGCTCAACAATGTGGCAGCATCTTGCTGGTTCTAGCAGTTTTCTAACTCTGAGCAGGGGTTATGTTTTGCCCCCTGTTTCCCTGATTCCTTCTGTAGTGAATGGACTGTTGTTGGTTGCTTTTTATTATGTTAACTTTACACGATTATTTTCTTTATGGTTATGTTAATCTGTTATAATTTCTTAGCCATTACAATGACAGTGAAGATGAGAGGACTTATAATTTTGAGTACTGTGACTAACTTCTTTGTGCATATCTGTTAAGGACTTGTGCTTGGTCCATGCAGCATTGCAGACATTGATTGGCTTGTTCCTTGCAGGCTATTGTGTTTTTGTTGATGCTGAGCATGCACTTGATCAAGCACTTGCGGAGTCCATTGGTGTAGATACTAAGAATTTGCTTCTCTCACAACCAGACTGTGGTGAACAAGCGCTGAGTCTTGTGGACACCTTGATCCGTAGTGGTTCAGTTGATGTAATTGTTGTTGACAGTGTAAGTATGGAGCTCCATTTCTTTTGTTCATGTCTTTTTTTTTTTTTTTAATTGCTCAGTGTAAGTATGACTTCTTGATTGCTATCATGAGCAAAAATTTAAGTGTTCCATCTCTCGCTGTTTACTCTCTTACCTTTTCTCTGTATCTCTTGTTGATTTTACTTGTATGTGATTTAGATTATGTCCCCTTGTAGCTGGTATAATGGATTGAATTGCTTATATGCCAGGTATGTGCCTACTGACTTTTTGCAGTGTTCCCAATACTAGGTAGCTGCTCTTGTTCCTAAAGGTGAACTCGATGGTGAGATGGGTGATGCTCACATGGCAATGCAGGCAAGGTTGATGAGCCAGGCACTTAGGAAACTGAGCCATGCTTTATCACTGTCACAGTGTATATTGATTTTTATTAACCAGGTATCAGCAATGGTTGCTGATTGTACTAATTTTCTTTGGCCTATACCATAGGTGTCATTTTACTTGTAAAATTGACTGCATGTAACAAACTTGGTTGGCCTGTCCTCTACTAACTTAACATTTGTCTCTATCTTTGTCAGTTGCATTGAGCCCACGTTATTTTCTATTTCCAACCATCAGTTGAGCTTGAGCTCTTATTGCACTGCTGGCCGATATGGTTTTGGGCTATTAGTTATTAGGTTCATAATGATGTGTACATTAATGTTCGGTTTTTCTTTTTCTTTTTTCTTGTTTTTTTTTTGGGGATCTCTCATCTGGTATCTTACTGTGTAATGATGTTTCTGTTTTCTTCCTCTTTCTTAATATGAAGGTAAAGCTGATAGTTCATAATTGCTTTGTTACTTGCTACTAAATAGTCTAATTTACTCGAGTCAACCTTTTCTTCAGCTCTCTTTCTTTTGGCTTTTTTTTATAAGATTTATGGAACATAGGGGTGACACAGTTGGAGTTTCACTGGCAGGGTTTTTGGGAATGCTATTAAGTATTAATGTGGGTGATATTATCTTTTCTGGTTGTTTATTTGGAAAGTTGACTCATCATGTTAAGATGTGTCTTTTGGAAGACTATATGTTTTTCATTTTTATATTAAGTGCATGGATAACTTGATTATATTAAATCAACCAAGGGATATCCTTATATGATCTTTTGATGGTAGAATCTCTTTGTTTGCATGTTTCTCCAGGTGAGGTCTAAGCTTTCTACTTTTGGGTTTGGTGTGCCTACTGAAGTTACCTGTGGTGGTAATGCATTGAAATTTTATGCTTCTGTACGGCTAAATATCAAGAGAACAGGGTTTGTAAGGAAGGGTGAAGAGGTACAAATCATCTGTTGATTCCACTGCCCTCTTGCATTCAATGTCTGGTCAAAAATTTTTTTGGACTAAGGGTTGGTTGTAACTTAGTGGTATCCTCTCACAGCAACCAGACTTCTCACGTATATTGGCATGGAAACTTCTTACGTTGTGCTTGATTGGGGTGAAAATGGTCAGATTGAAAATGGCAATGCATTTAGACATAGTGTTCAAATAAATAAATAAATAAATATATATATATATATATTTCAAATTTCTGCCTTCTTGTCTCACAAATGCCAATTTTCTTCCCAACCAAGCATAACCTTAGGCTGTAATCATGATAGTTTACTGACCGATCTACATAAACGCATTAGAAAGCATGAGTAATGGATTACTCACATATTATACCAATCGCCATATTCTTCCATGATAGTGATATAATCCATTATATGTAGCAATGACAATAACTGGGAGGAGTTAAAAGTTCATACATTTGGATTTCTTTTGGATAAACTGGTTCAGTGCATTGGAGTACGTAACACGTTAAGCCTGTGTGTAATTCTGGCTTCTGTAGTATTTTTGGGCGTGGGGATTAGTTTTATTGCATTGAAGTGTTTTAATTACTGGTCTGATTCTTCTTTTATGCTGTTGCATCCTGCAGACTTTAGGAAGCGAGGTTCTTGTCAAGGTCGTGAAGAACAAGCTTGCCCCTCCGTTCAAATCAGCGCAATTTGAGCTTGAGTTTGGCAAGGGTATAAGTAGAGAATCAGAAATTTTAGAGTTGAGCCTGAAACACAAACTTATCTCAAAGTCTGGTGCATTTTTCCATTATAACGATCAGGCTTTCCACGGCAAGGATGCTTTCAAGAAATTCCTTGCAGAGAATCGCGGCGCACAAGAAGAACTTATGAGGAAACTCAGGGAGAAGCTGTATTCTGAGACAGAAATTGAACCAGAGGCAACAAATGAAGATGTCACAGAAGAAATTGTATCACCTGATTCTACGGATGAAGAAGTGGCGACAGCTGCAGAAGCATGAATTTGCGAATGGCCTCGAAGTTTTGGTTCACACCTTTTCCTTGCCTGGATTGGGATCCATGTGAGTGGGATGCCATAGCCTAGTGAGTCGATTATAAACTCGTCAATTCAATTGAAGAAAAGCTCATGAAGAAGCATCAGGTGGCTGAGGCAAATGTTGAAAATGCTGCCATATTGTTCTTGTAGATATAATTTTGCTGGTCATGATATGTATGCCAATGTCATGTTCTTCAATGTGTTCTGAACTGGTGATTGGGAGGAAAAAGGGAGGTAATTAGTAAAGACTCTGGTCATTTCCATTGATCTGTGAGGATAGTACTCCACTATATATAACGCTGAATCTGTATCCCATTGGAGATCTTCTGTTGTTACCCGTCCTTCTAACGCATGAACATGAATTGGAGTGGCGCATGTCGTTGTGGTCAACTTGTGAAATACTGTACATAAAAAATATGCATGCATGTGAATGAGTATTTTAACAAGCTATTTTTATTTTTTGGTGGCTTTTTAGAGCCAGCTAGGACGGTTCTATATCGCGTTTGATTTCGCAACTCCGGTGGGTTTTTAAAAACTAAAATAAAGACTGTAAGAGTAACATCTATTTTACTTTTGTTTTAAAACTAACGGAAATGTAATTTATAACTTGTTTCTGATTTGGGAGTGTAAAGCTCACTGTCTTCTATTCACAAGTACAAAATACTTTTAGATAAAAACTTTGCATAATCTTATATTGAGGGTTAAAAAGTTTTAATTAATTTTCCTTAAAATTTTAATTTATATTTTGTCTTTATTAAAATTGTATAATTTCATTTATGCATTTTTGTAAAATTGAATTTATTAAACTCTTTGCTCCTCTCCCCCAAGTAGGTGGTTAAAAAATCATTTCGTCCCTTTGAGGTGGGCCAGTAAAATGGTTTAGATTTCCTCAATTAAACCTCAAGTGAGGATATACTAATTTTGAGATTCGGTGTAATATGCGAGTCGGTGGACGTATGCAATCACTCCACGTGTAAGGGCATGTACGGGAGATCGAATTGATTATTTTCCACGAGATTCTGTTACACACTTCATCCAATTTTTGTTGTAGAATGTTTTCAATCGTTTCACATATTTAAAATTAATTAATTTTTTATATTATAAAAAATTAATTGAACTTTTTTTATTTTTTACTTTAAATAATGATATCTAATTTTTTTATATTAAACAAAATTATATGTACTTATATTAAATACATTCACATTAATTAAGAAAGGATAAAATAAAAAAAGTGATTTAATTATCACAAGGTGTCTTATATTTTGGATCAAAAATTAGTTTTAGAATATGTTCTACAAATAAGATTGAAGAGGATAATTAGTAATTAGTGTAACTAATTTTACTAATTAAGACGCATGGACCTTGTCTTAATTCTATATTGCTCCTTTAGTCTGTGAGATTGCTCAATTGAATCTATAGGATAGATGAAATGCAGGATTTGAATTTGGTGAGTAATTTAAGCCTATTTATACAATGAGTTCTTACATGATTGGGTAACAATCATTTAATTTAATTGAATATTTGCAAGAAATTTTTTTATACAATATTAAAAAACATCAAATTTCAAATCTTTAAAGAGGACAACAAATGTAAACAGTTCTTTAATTATGAGGATTCTCTTGAATGTGTGAAATAAAATGCATTTTGATCATTTTCAAGCATTAGTTAAATATAATAGTTATAATTGAGACATTAATAAGTAAACTTGGACTCCTCATGAAATCCAAATATCAGAATGAGCATTAAGCATGATTTTAGATCTTCTCAATTAGTTTCAATTGAGATATTAACTATCAGGATATATTGTACATACAGAACATTGAATGAAGATCATGCAATTTTCTTAGAGTTTGGACTATCATTAATTTAATCATACAAAAAATATACGAAAACCTAGGCTGATGTGTCGGGTGGTGATTGGTCTCGACGGTTCACTTTGCCAAGTTAGCAACCACTGCCCGCACTGCTTCTTCAAAGGCAGCCTCATCCCATTCACTCCCCTGTAATGGTAAACATTATTTTGAGAAATTATTTCAATAAATCAAGCACAAAAATTTTCAATAATGCTATTCGTACTTTTTATATTTTTCTCAATATATTTAAATACTTAAAAAATAACATAATTAAAACTTAAATAGAAAGCTAAGTAACCTGTAAATGATGAATTTAAACAGTTTCACTTTTGACTCCCTGCTTGTTATCCCAATTATCAATTTTTGCATAGTTTATTTTCCTTCATTTCAAATTTCCCTTCTCTTTCATTATTTTCTGGAGAATGTGATGGACTTTCATCGAACAAAACAAAACGAAACGCACAAAAAATATTAAAATACTATACAAGAGATACTATATACCACACATGTTTCCCTATGTGGACGTGGCCATTACATGACTTGCGACACGGAATGACACATATCATGATGCTGTTGTTTTACCTATCAAATCAAGAGAATAAAGACGTTTTTTTTATTAAGAAATGTCACTTCCAAGTTCCAACTTGGTCAATAATTAATTTTATTATCACAAGAGAATTCAAAACCCTAGTCAGCATGTCTTCTAGGGCAATCCATCACTTAATAGTTGTTACGAGAGAATGAAAGATTATGGGACACCAAATTAATTATGTTTTGACGCTAATTAATATAACTTGCTTCAAGCTGGTCTGCTTTGACTGATCTATATTTGTCTCTTAGCTAGCATGAGCTGAATGTTTCTGCGTATTTAGCCTTTAAAAACGTATTAACGCGGAAACGAAACACGACACGAAAGTGTTCATTTACACTCAAAGATTTTATTAAAGCTTAGTATTGCATTATGCCTAATATAAGTTTCATATTTATACTCCTATGTTAAAATCTAACTCAAATTATAAAAGTGCTCAGGCCAAGTCTCATAAAGCCAAACCCTACAGATCTAAACTGTTATCACTTAACCAATGTCCCCACACGCGCGCGCGCGCACACAGAGACGCATGATGAATATAATAAGAACTGTTAATAACTGGTAACTTAACACCTTATTTGAAGTATATCTTCTTATTAAATAAACCCTATCTATACATGATCTAATGTTCCTATCAGAATGTTTTATACTCGACAAGTTAAATTATTTTTAACAAGTTTACATGTCATCTAGCATCAGTAGTTTTGCAAGAAATCAACAAAGTTCAAAATTTTAATCGATGTGACTGCCAAAAAAAAAACCTCTTGAATATAATATCATTCAATACCTATCCTTATTAGAAAGTGAAATATCATAGCCCACCCAGCAATATATATATATATATATATATAATCTAATATAACTGCTGTTTGTTGACAGCATCCTTCCTGCTAGCTTTAATTAGAACAATAATTACAAAATCATTTCCTAATTCTATAGACACACCATCATCATGATCAAGAACTAATTATATATATAGAGAGAGCCAAATTGGACACTAATTGTTACAACTTGGTTTTTCACCTGCAACTTTCGTCTAATATACGTGGTAAATACTTTATACCCAAGCAAGATTTGTTTTCCAAAGTCTACTAGCTAGCCTTGTTATCTTAGCATCAAGTTAAGGTGAAGTTGTAGCCATTTGTATAGTTCAGCCGTTGTTGCTTCATAAGGTTCCCCACTACTAAAAACTGAAAAGGAAATTTGTCTATAAGTACGTACTTGCCACACATTAGCCAATCATAGAGAGCCCTGAGCAGGAGATAAGATATAGTACTGCAGATAAATAAATAAAGTGCATGGTACAACATATTTTAAGAACTGTCAGCTGAAAAGTTGAGATTAATTTCGTATTTTGCACGTACATACCTCTATCTTCAATCTTAAAGTTGCTTCATTGAATGCGTTCCCTTGAGCTATACGTGTGCTTGCATCCACAGAAATTAAGCTCACTCTCTGAACGCCTTTCAGAAATTCCAATAGGGGACTCAATATATCGACCTGCTGCAGAAAATAACTTTGTCTTCTTATTACAGTCACGTGTAGGTCAGTGAATCTTTCCCCTGATGAGCTCGACCCTGCAACGTCCGAAACCCTCACATTCATTAATAATCTTTCATCAGTTGTTGAAGAACTGGCTTTGGTTTCTTTTCTTGTTAATAATTCCTTGGCTTTCATTTTCGCCTTCACTTGCTCGTGATCTTTTTTGCCCATCTTTTCATTCTCAGCCATCAATGAGCTCAATGCCTCCTTCGCTGCTATAAGTATGGATGCTTTGTCTTTCTACACAATGAAAATTCAATTATATTCTTGGGAATCATCATTTGAACTAACTTACATGTATATTTTATCCTGTTCTTTTAATAAATCACTCTCAATATTACATTTTTACCAAAACCAAAGAGAGACTTGAAATTTATTAACCTAGCCTAAAAATTAACAAATTTTCAACTTTGCCCTTACTAAACTCCTCCTTACTTGATGAGAAGTGAAAAACAAAAGCCAATCTAGAATAAGGGCAATATCAGAAAAGTAATGAATATTCATTTGGTGACTTATAAAAAAGACAAAAATCTCTCCTCCAAATGCATTAGAAGAACGAGCAAAGGGAGCATGTATCTAATTAGTACTATTATTCTTCTCTCATTTACAAGGTATCTTACAAAAAGAAGAAATAAATGGTAGTTTTTATCCTTTAATTACTTGAGAAATGATTTTCACAAATAACAAGATGACTTATCATCATTCTTTAATTAATAAGTGTATAATTGAATAGTTTGGGTGTTTTTGACAAGGAAAACAAAATAATAATTTTTCTTAAAATATGTGAAACCTATATTAAATATCACATAAATAAGATCCGGGGGAGTAATCACTGTGAGTTTAGAAAAACAAAAGTTCATATAAACAAGTTAAATTATTAGAAGATTTTACTGAGAGTCATCTATAAGCTTGGCACGTACGTACGTACCTTGGTTTCCGGAGGGAGAAGTGATCTAAGAGCCTGAAAATTCCGGTTGAGTTTCTCACGCCTTCTTCGTTCTGACATCATATGAAGGAACTGGCTGCTAGTGGGACGGGTTTCTTCATAACGCTCTCTCATTCTCAGGAAATGTAAGCCTCTAAGCAATTCAAAACATCTCTTGAGCAAGCTTTGCCTCCTCAGATTCGGTTTGTACTGACCCACTTGGGAAGGTCTGTACCTCTTGAAAGCACCAATTCTTTCCGCAGCAGCTGGACGTACATTAGGCGGATCTTGCACAAGTAGCAGTGAAGTTGAAGAATTTTTTGAAGGCGGCGGCGACGCAGATATAACATGATGATGAATCGCCTTGTTAGCCATCCCCTCATGTTCGTTCTCTTGCAGCAGCAACATTTCGGGCAAGAGAGAACTGCCCGGAATGTTGCTGAATAGGAGGCATGTGTTCTGACCTGGGCTGCCCGTGGATTCTGATCTCAAAGGAGATGGAGATGAAGGTGGAATCTTGTGTGCAACTTGGTGGGATTGTCTACAAAGTTCTTCTGGAAACAACCTCTGCATATCTGTTTGAATCTCTGAACCCTGCACCCAAAAAAAAACAAACAAACAAACAAGAAAGAAAGAAATCATCAGAATTCAAACAACGTGCAAGATTAACTTCACCTGGTATAGTAAATATATGCGCTTTAATTACTGACTTGAGTGACAGAAGAGAACCCAAGTTCAATTTCCCCGTTGTGGCAACCTATGAAAACAGCTGTCTGTGAATAAGGAAAATCAACATTAATGCTCACAAGTTTAGGTTTCAGCTTATATAAATTATAAAATACTAGCTGGTCTCTTGCTCAGCAACAAACCTCAATCCTTGCTTCCTGCAAAAACATACATATCAATGCGTGTTTTGTTAGCCAACGTCACTGCGTGTAGTTGTCTGGTAGAGTAGCAAATTAAAGTCGAGAGTGAATTGCCTGAAAGAATTGCCTCTGTATATCAGTCCATGCCAGTCGCAGGAGATCAGATTGTTGCAGCTCTAGGTAAGAGTATTGGTTCCAAAACGCTAGTCCAGGAACGCGGCTGATAAAACAGGAAGCGAAACACGTAATTTGAGAGAGAAGAGGGAGAAAAACACTTCGATGCAGCAGAAGAGGCTTGCAAATTACTGATATAAATAATAGCTACTGAAATATTCTGATTAACATATATAAATAGGGAGTTTATCAGCTGCTAGCCTTACCCATCAGAAGTGACATCAAATTCCAAACCTCTATACTGTTCAAAAAGCCTCTGATCAACAGTACTCCCCAGGGAAGAGCTTGTTTGAAGGCTCTGTACGTCATAGAAACCATCCAAGAGCAGCAACCGACTGCGAAATGAACACGGAAATTGAAAGTTAGAAGCCGAAGTAAAAAATAATGTGCATGAAGGGGAAGACGCTTGGATTATATATATATATATATAATTACTTGGACGAGGAACTATAGGACCAGAGGCAAATGTAGGCACAGCCATAAGAGTGAAATGCGGATTGCAGGAAATCGAGCCTTGCAGCTTCGTCGGAGAAGACACTGTCCATGGATTGGATGTACGGTAGATATATGGTTGATGATGGTATCTAGGGTTTCTTCACTATCAATTTATTATTTATCGGAATCAGAGAGTGTAGTAGAAGTTCCAGCCATTTTAGTCTCTGGGTATGGAATGTGCTCGTGTCATTATGTGATTGGCTTGGCTCGATGACTGTTGACAAATGATAGATATCTTTCACAAAAGGTTAAGAAAGCCAAAATTAAATGAGGAAGCATTGTATTGTACCTCCCCGAGATGATCACACAGAAGCATGGTTGAAGTTAAAAAGACCATGACTTTTCGTTTGAAGTTAAAATTAAACATCATATTTCTTTTTGGACAAATTTACATAAAAAGTACATCATTGAGGCCATTGCCTAAGAACTCATATAAATTATAGGTGTCGTTTAAATTATCGTATTGAATTTCACTTTGTAAAATTTATAATAGGATATGAAATTTAAATAAATTATAGGAAAAATGACTTTATTTTTTCACATAAATGTAAATGTTAGAGCTATTTTATCATAAAACATTGATAAATAATTTTGCTGCTAAAAAACATGAAAAATAATATACAAATTTATGAGTTGCATTATATGATATATTAGATGTCTAAAATAATTTTTCCTTAGCCTCAAAACTGTCAGACACGTCCTTGAGGTGCATGAAGTGTTATATATAATAAGGGATGTGAAGGAAAAACAGAAATTAATAGCATAATATATACTCTATCTATAGAGGGTTTTGTGTATTTGTATGGAATGCGGTATTGGCCACAAACTTGCGAATATATAGTACAGCTGCCTAAAAGCGTAAAAGATCATTATTGTTTATCTATTTGTAAAAAGAAACTTGTTGATATCACAAAAATTATTCGGAAAATGGTAATACAAATCTTGTGAAGACATAGATGGCGTGGAATTGTAGATTTCCATCAATTATTGAAATGCCATGAAGGATTCATAGTCTTGTAACTAAAAAATAAATAACGATTGACATAGCCAATGAAAGGTCACTCATAAATTTAAAAAAATTTAGTTGTAAATTTAAAGCAATGAATTAATGGAAAGTTAGTTGTGAATTGATAGATAGTGTTGTAAATTTATGCATCATCATGGCTTGTAAATTTAATGGTAGTCACCCCATAATATAATAGTTACTCATCTTTAAACTGATATCATCTTTTTATATTTATCTTTATTTAATAGGATATCTCACTTTGAAATAAATATAAAGTAATTTTTTTATTAGAAACAATTTTGAAAAAAATATAATCATTACATCTTCAAACACTATAAATACCTTACATTTTTTTAATATCTAACCTCTCAAAAAATATCTTATATTTTTAATAAAAAGAAGTATTTATGAAAAATTATTGTTGAATAAATAAATAGTCTCGTGAATTTATATATTGTCACTAATAAATTTAGTAAGGAGAATTACTTTACTTGTGAATTTTAGGAAAGTTATTATTAAAGTTATGAAAGTCAATTGTGATTGGGTATCTAAAAACAGAAGGTCCCTAAATCATATATTATTCTACTATTAAAATCATTGATCATTCACAACGTTCCATAAATTTACAAATGAAATTTCTTAAAAACTGATTCTCCTTTAATTATAAGTGACAATGCATAAATTCATGATGTTAGTTAACCTTGCAAACAACTGTCCTTTAATTATAAGGAAATAGAAAAATAAAAAAAATGTTGAGTATAATTGCATGGGAAAGAACAAAGTATTGTGTAAAATTTTTACTTAAATTGCTACATACAATGCCGAGTTCTGGCGGTTAAGATAAAGTGAAATAAGGTGTAGATAGAGGTCATCATGATTCCACTCTGATCATGATATAACCCCAAAAAAAAAAAATCTTATTTAAGTCAATAAATATTTCAAAAATAGAAAAAATATGAGGAGAACTGAAAAAAGAAAAAAAATCAAAATAATTCTATAAAATACATGTGTAATTGAGATCGTCACTGCATGTATTTGTCAAAAATCCAGTTATTATCCAGTGCCGTTATTGTTTTAAAAGAAAGGCCACGAATCCAGTTACTATCTTTGTTGTTGTTAATGTTAAAGTCGAACATGCTTGAACTAGAATGGAAAAGGGCATAGAAGTAAACATAATTGAATACCTTTTGTTTGCCTATGAACGTGATATAGTCTTTTCTCTTTTGCAATCTTTTGTTTGTATCCACCGTACGTGCGTGTTGCGACGCAGAAATAAGTGGCAATTGGGGATTGGTTTGCGTCATGAACGGAGCAATGGGTTTGCCAGGGGAATCACCTCACATCCATAACTAATTCACCTTTTCAAAAAAAAAAAAGGTTAGTTGATATATATATATATATATATATTAATTCTTTTAAAATTTTATACGCCCTCTAATTTTATATATAAGTTGTCTTATAAAAAAAATTATATTCTTAATTATAAGTATAGTATTAATTGATTTATTTCAAATATAGGCACTCCTCCTAAACATTAGGGATAAAAATGTTTATTTTTAAATTTATAATTTTTTTTAGGAATGCGAGTGGAAATCAAAGTAATTAATTTCTAGACAATTTCAATGATATGACTATTTCTTTGGTTCATGTGAATCAATTACAAGTGACTTATGATAATGACTATTGATATTTTAATAAATTATTTTTTAAAAAAAGAAATGATAAATGAAGAAAGGAAATAATAAAAAAATTATACTCCCTCTATTAGAATAAAACATTTTTTGAAGAGTTAGATGTTTAAATATATAAGGTATTTTTAGTCTTTCGAAATGTAATCATTGTCTTTTTTTAAAAGTGCCCCTATTGATAATGAATTTATATTTATTGTAAGGTATTTAATAGAGGTAAATGTGAAAAGATAGAGTTAATTGAATAGTAGATAACTACTTTATTGGGAGATGAGATTTGGTTAAAAATACTTTAAATCTTGTGATTTGGATCAAACAAGATTTTTTAAAAGATGTCTTATGTTATATATTAAAAGAAATACAAGGAACATTATATAATTAAGCTTCTGTTCCCTCTGTTTAAAAATATAAGGTATTTTTAATTTTTTGAGGTGTAATTATTATATTTTTTTTAAAAAAATTTCTATTAATGAATGATTTTATATTTATTGTAAGGTGTTTAATAAAAATAAATATAAAAAGTTAGCACTAATTTAACAATAAATAATTATTTTATTAAATATAAAATTTAATTAAAAATATTTTATGTTTTTTAACAGATATGTGTTCATAAAAAGTCTCGGAGAACCGTGGCATCGGTTGGAGAATCATGGGTAAAAAAAATTGAAGCTTGCGGATGTCAAGTTTTTGATGGTGTGTAGGAAGTTGTTATAAATGCAATCAATCATTGCTTAGAGGAACTTATATATTTAAAAAAAAAATAAGTGCGGCTCTATAATGATAAAAGAAATTACACGCTGAATTGTTTGTTTTGGCCGACAAATTACATGTGGAAGGGAAGCTGTGATCTTGCACTTGGGAGTAGAATTTACATGTCATCGGCGTGACATGATTAAAGGTTAGAAAACTGGGTTAAGTGGGGCCAACTGTGGTTGAAAATAGTATAAAAGAAATGAAGGTGACTGTTGGTGTGGGGTGAAAAGGTGACACTGATGAGAAAGGCCTTGAAAGCGAAGGAGCCAGCATGGCTCATAATTATGGAAGCAGGTTGATTCCCTCTGAAGGAGGGAAAACCCTGAAAAACCAGCAGAGAGGGGGGCCCACATGCAGATAATCAATAATGGAAGTTGGATTGAGTTACTGAATTGGAAAGGATATAAATGTCCTTCTTGAAAAGTGGGGGGGGGGGTGGGAAAGAGGGGGATTAGTCAAAGTCAATGTTTGAAATATTCGAATGAATGAAGGAATGGTCAAGACATCCTAACTCACGGGCTTTCTTTTCCCAGTCCTTCTTCGTTTATATTTCCTTCTCTGTCCCACCCGACCTAATCCTCTCAACCTTTTATTTTAGCGACTCCATTTCAATATACCTGTCACGTTTTTTTTCCATCGGACCACCTAAATAGTGTTCGCACCCCATCACTTTAAATATCCGGCTTCTCCCATTACATGACACGCAATTTTGGGCTCTTTAATCATCATCCCATTACTGATTGATTTGGGGTAGAAGATGATGAAAGAGCGTAGTTTAGTTTAGTTTCTTCTTCTTCTCCTTGTTTTTGCATTTCTTTATTTTTTTATATATTATTTTTATCAATTTTATTAATATTAATATAAAAAATAAAAAAAATATAAGTATATAAAATTTTACATATATCTTTATATAACAAATTTTAAAAATCATGTCGCGTTATTTTTTATCTTTTATGAAGAATAATTTTAAAAATATTTTTTAAATATTATATAAAAAGTTATACTGTAATTTATAAATAAAATTAAATAAATATTTTAAAATGTGGGTGGAGTATCTGTTTTTTTACTTTGGCCGTTTTTTTTTTCTCAGTAATTATTTCTAAACATCTGGTTTCTTCATTTCAAAATATTTGTTATTTGAGAATTACGATAAAATATCAATATTATTTTTTTAAAATTATCTTACCCATCAAATTTGGGTTAATATATTGTGAGATCTAATTGAATTTAATTCTTTTAAAATTCTTACCTGTGATTGTATGAATTGGAACTCGAGATCATTAGTTTAAGCAGTCATGATTTCTTCCAACTACAACCAACCAACGCCAACATTGTTGATTTGATGATATTCATTTTCAAGTAGCTTTCTTAAATTATATGTAAGCGATGTTCAAGCTGCAAAAAATTTCGATGATTCACATACATGTACGGATGTTTATTTTTTATTTTTTTTCAAAAATAAGGGGAAATTGCTAAGAAGGACCTCGATCCTTTTTCCCAAATATGTTTGCCTCATAGAATTCTTACCAATTTTCCTTCAAAAGTATTACCAGCCGGTTGGCTTCTATGAATTAAAATCAGTGGGGAAAAAGCTTATCGGAATTCTTATTT